TCCACGCTCTACACCCAGCCCACCATCCACGCTCTAACCAGTCCACCCTCCACGCTCTACACCCAGCCCACCATCCACGCTCTAACCAGTCCACCATACACATTCTACACCCGGCCCACGCTCTAACAAGCCCACTGTTCCACACTCTACACCCGACCCATGCTCTACACCCAGCCCACCCTCCACACTCTACACTAGGCCCACATTCTAACCAGCCCACCTTCCCACCATCCCATGCTCTACACCTGGCTCACTGTCCACACTCTAACCAGCCCGATGCCCTTAGGATCCTACAAATGAGTTCAAAGGGAAGAAATCTTTTGACTTTAAAATATATGAAAGAATTAAATTTCATCAAAAGGTGATGCTGTTTGGAAAAAGGACACCTTACTCAAGAGGAGCAACATTCTCTCTTCCCCCTCTGTCCTATGTTTGAGTCCAAGACGCCGCAGCTTGGGGGCAGCTGAGGCCATTACAAACCCCCACAGCAATGTGAGGAAAGAGCCGCCTGCTGTTGTTTTTAGGAAAGAATAATAAATGCTTAGCATCTTCTGTAAGATTTACAGGCACCAACAGACATTTCTGTACCACAGAAACAAACTGTTATGAGTGACAGAGAAACCGCTAAGCATAAAGCTAATCACTTCATGGTTTTTTCTGCATGCCACAGCACTATACCTGTCCAGGGGTCTGCCTTCCCCTTAATTCTGTCTTAAAAGTGAAACCTGTCTTGGAAGAAGTGCAACCAAAGGTCATCTTAGAGGCGAACATGGTGAGACTTTGCTTCACCTACTTTTGGTTCTGTTATCAATGAGAGGCTAGTCCTCAGAAAAGGTTATCATGCCTTAAAGGTCAGAGAGAAAGAAGACGACCCTCAACAAGCTGGATGGACACCAGGAGCACAGTAACAGGCTTAAACAAGGAGGGGCTGTGAGTATGACACAGCATTTGGCAGGGTTTCATTGTTTTTGTAGGGATACTATATGAGTCGGAGATGACTTAATGGCACCTAACTAACATCTTTAGAAGTAAGTGCAACCTTCTTTAAAAAGCCTTTTGAGGGAGCTCTGGTGGCCTAGTGACAAGAAGCTACACTGCAACCCCAGATGTATGTGGTTCAAATCCACCAGATGCTCTGCTGGAGAAGGGACAATCTCCTCCTGTACCAGTCAGATCTGATTTGATGGTACACACAAAAATAATAAAATAAAATAAATTAAAAACAAACCAGCCTTTCGGAGTTTGGCCTTTGCCAGCTTCTTCCCACAGCTTTGCTCTAACAGCCATCCTGAGTACCCTGCAAGTTCCCTGGCACATCTCACTTTTGCACGTTTGTCTGGAGTGCCCTTTCCACTGGCCTCTTCCTTCCTGGCAAACACTTCATACAGCTGTGACCCATCAGCATGTTTTCTCTTACTTTCACCCCAACCCCAATTTGTGCTTCCAGAGAAACTTGTGTTTAATTTCTAGAGCTGGCTGTGTTTGTTTCTGTGCTAATCTGCGATGTTCACAAATACAAAGATGCACCTGGGCACACAGAGAGAAGGAAAAGTAAAGCAAACAAGAAGATGGGAGGGGAGGAAACAGGGAGGTGAGGGGTAAGACAGAACAAAAGCTGAGTGAGGAGGAAACTAGGCTGTGTCTGTGGGCTCGCCAGCCAGCTGTTCCTCCTCTGTGTCCGCTCCACTAACTAGTGCAAATGGTTTGGGTCAGGCCACAGAACACAAGCTCCATGCTTTCTGCCCACCAGTGCTGCCCTTTAGGTAAGGCTTGAGACCATAATTCCTCATAAATCTGTTACAGTATCTGCAAAGACCAGTGTCAAGGAAGGAAACTGAGTGGGTAGAATTAAGAGGTCTACTGTATGCATTTGCTTAATAACTGCCTGCTATCTGGTGAATGGTTGCTCACTGCTGTTGAGGTAGAACCTGACTCACGACCCTTGTACGGGATTTTAAGAAGCAGTGAATTGCACAGGAGGAGGCTGCCCACCTTCCTCCTGCTGAGCAGCAGGTGGACTCGGACCTCCTGCCTGTGAGTCGGGAGAGCAGGTCCTTCCCACTCGACCAGCGGAGCGCCCAGATTTAGTAACCTAGGCTTCTGTCTAAACTGTTCCTAGAATGATGGGCTTCATTTCTTAAGGAAAGCTTGATAACTATGCTCCTACTCAGTCTCTTTCTATTCCAGGCAATAGCTCTAAAGGTGAGCAGAGCCATGTGGTCGCACAACTGCTCCATTTCCCTGCAGCCCTTCGTCTCAAAGCTGCGGGTACTGGGATAGGCTGCAGCCAAACTCAGCCCCGTACCTTTGTTGTCGGCGGCAATGAATCCCAGGATGTTTTCATGACGCAGCATGACCGTCTGATATATTTCCGCTTCCCGGAACCAAGACCGTTCTTCCCGAGAAGAGAAAATTTTCACAGCCACATCACCGCCTCTCCAGCGGCCACGCCAGACTTCCCCAAACCGGCCCTTTCCAATTATCTCTTGTAAAACGATGGTTCGGGCCACTGTGCGCTGGACAAAAAGAGGTAACCCTGTGAACCAAAGACGGAAAGAAACCTGTCACTGTAAATTTACTAAACCTCACAACTCCCACAGCTCACTGCTATGCTTGGAAAGCCTGCAACAGTGTCCCGTTCTATGCTGGCACATTAACCACAGCAAGTGGTGCCTGTCCTCACACAAAGTGTAGGTGATAGACAGAGAGCTGAACCAGGTGACTGAGAGTGAACAAAGAAGGGGAAACACATGATTAGCTGTTTCTTATCGAAGGATTTTATAATTTCAATTAGTATCAATGAAAGCTCCATATAAACGTTGACCAGATTTATCCGCTCTGTGGCGAGTCACCACCAGTGGGCCAATCCACCCACCTACTTGTTCTGATAGAAGTGAGGCTTGTGCAATGGGAATGCTTTGTGACTGTTCTGCGCAGTCCCCGCTAGAGGGCAGTGTTGTGTGGCTCATGACAGGAGAACCATGTTTTTCTTCTCAGGCTAAAAGAGTTGCCTGAACAGGCCATAAAAGATTGCCAATAGCCACCTCTCTCCAAAAAGAGGTGATTCTGAATTCTAGATGTAGAACAGGGACCATCCATGCTTATTCTAAGATTAATATTACTGTCTTTATAGGACAAATTTATTGCCTTGTTTGACTTGTTCAGTGTCCCCTTATCCTTCGTCCTGTCATAACCCTTCATTTTCTTTCTCTCCTTTACTAAATACAAATAGATAAGCAAATCTGTTAGTTTAACCCATTTTTTTTTTAAAAATTATTTTATACTGGTTAATTTACAAAGTTCATATACACTGTTTTTCATGCTGGATCTTTCCCATTGCCTTCATTCTTGGTAACGTTTTAAAAAATTCTCTACTACTTTATTTCCAAAATTTGAATACATTGTTTTCAAGAACTAATTTTTTCAATTTCCCTCACCCCCCCAAATCAAACTGTACAACCCCATGATTAATACCTCCCTCCCCCTCTTAGGTCTTCTGGATGTGAGCTACCATTTATATTTGCTACACATTTGGTACTACTCTAACATGTTCAACACTATGCTAAGAGTTTTAATATAAAATTCCTAGTTTCTTCCTAACGTCTATCGGGGAGATAATGTTGCTATCCTATTTTACAGATAAAACTAAGCTCAAGCTGGGGTCAATATGGCAGGCCGATCTACTGTCGCAGTATCAGGCCAGTAGCTGGATGGTGTTTGAAAAGGATACTATAATGCTGCAGGGTTCAATAAACTCAGATTATTATGAGATGATACACTACATGATGAGGGGGATATAAAAGCCACAGGAGGCTTCCTGAGCACCTTTATAATGGTAGGGTGTTTCCCATAAAAAGATCTTGCCTAAGGTACAGTGGACAAAATACAAGTAGGATAAATTCTACCTTAGCCCATTCCTGAAAGAGGCTATTTGAGAAAGAAGAGAGACTCAAGAAAGAAAAGAGGGAGAAGAATGGGTAAAGAAATAATCATGTAATTGAAATCTGTGGATGCAGCTGTCCTTAATATTTTTATGACACTGGTTAAACATGAAACATAATTTAAGAACTATTTGGGCTGCCATATGAATTCCTTTAAATAAATATCTATTATAAGCTTAAAAACAAACAAAAAACCTAAAGCTCAAACAAGGTTAAGTAATTCATCCAAATTCATACAAATAGTAAGTGGCAAAGCAGAGGTTAAACCGAGGCCTGCCAAGGGAGCTGTGGTGGCCTAGTGGCAAGAAGATGCACTGCAATCCCAGAGGACAGTTCAAATCCACCAGATGCCAGTCAGAGCATATTTGAACAGTACACACAAAAAAATAATAAGGGGGGCGGAAATCTAGGCTTGTCTTGGTTCTGAAGCCTACACTTTAAACGATCACAGTGTACCACGATTGTGGACTGCAGTGTACGTTGGCAGTCAATTCCAACTCAAAGCAACCCTTCCACTGGTTTCTGAGGCTGTATATCTTTACAGGAGAAGACTGTTTATCTTTCTCCCATGGTATGACTGGTGGATTCCAACTGGTGATTTTTTAGTTTGCAGCTTGACACATTATCTACTATGCCACCAGGGCTCCTTACAATAGTATTGTTATTGTTATTATGTACCATCGAGTTAGAACTGACTCATAGCTGATCTTTCAGTGGGTTTTCAGAGGCAGCAGCCAACAGCACAAAAAGAGACTGCTCATCTCTCATGGAGCAGCTGATGGATTCAAACGCGTGCCTTTGGGTTGGCAGCATGATTCCTTCCCACTAAGCCACCAGAGCTCCTTATATAATAGTATTGTTGTTGCATGCTGTTGAGTTGGAACTGACTCACTGCTGACCCTTCAGTGGGCTTTCAGAGGCAGTGAATCAGAGGCAGTGGGAGGGGAGAGACTGCTCATCCTTCTCCCTTGGAATAGCTAGTGAATTTGCACTGTATGCCTTTGGGATTGCAGTGCAACTTCTTACCACTAGGCCACCAGAGACTACCCCAGACAATAGTCTAGATTCATCAAACCATTTCTTAAATTAGATCCCTCCTCTCCATTCTTAATGCACTTGGTCTGGTTCAGGCTCTTCTTTAGCTTGTATGTGACCCATGGGACATACAGTTCCCACCTACATTCTGCCTTCTGAGTTTAGCAGAAAACTGTGATCCCACTTTGAACAGGCGCTGCTATCTAGTTGGGGGAGGGCTCTGCAGAACTATGTAAATCTGAAGAAATGGGCCTCAACCCATCAACTCCAGCACCAGAGACCTTCAGGACATAAGTATTCCATGTAAAAAACAAAACAAACCAAACAAACCCACCAAAAGACTCTCAAACTCATTTTGGTTTCCAACTCATAGCGACTATCAAGTTTCCAAGACTTTAAATCTTAACAGGAGTCGACTGCCCATCTATCCCGAGAATGCTGCTGATGGATTTGAACCACTGGAGATGTAGCTTGAACTACACAATCCTTTTACTTCAAAAAGTTTAAAAATTGATTTCAAAATGTCTTCTTCCTTTACTGAAAACATGACTTCAATAAAAAATTCAAAGCAGAAAAATCATTCTTTCAAGGGTTAAGAGACTCCTGACTGAGCTTCCTATCTCCATCTTATTTGCTCCTGCCCTGCATACACACACACAGCCCTGCCTCACACCATTCTCCCCAACAGGAGCCTGGTAAAGAAAGAAAACCATTTCCGCATCCGTGTAAGAATCCCTTTAAAAAGAAAATGTAAACATTCATTCTCTCATATAAAATCTTGAGGTAGATTCCTCTTATTCATAAGATAATGCACGCCACTCCCCGTCCTTTGTCCATGGAAGAACCTGTCTTTCTCTGCCCCTTACTGCAAGAGCACCACAGAAATCTCCTTACACTCCCTAAGCATACAGTGGTGAACTTTAAAGCCTATTTGTCATTCTATGGCCTAGAATGTTTTGTCCTTTTACCTCTCTTTTCTAAGTCTTCCCAACAATACCTATCTCTTCTAGCCAATGCTGGACCAGCCTCCTTTTAGTCTTTGTTTACCCGTTATCATCTACAGGGACTCAACCTGTATTTGTTAAAGTTAATTAAATGTCACATAAGCAGCATAGATTTATTACTTCTAAATTGGTATTATTAAAAATCCAATAGTCTGGGAGTTTTGCATATTCTGAATTAAGAATGAACAAAACCACTCAAGAGAAAAGTCATTCTTCTTTAATTTCTTTTTCTCCAGATATCTAAATAACCACCATGGTGCTTCCTTAACCTGAGCTAGTTCTGAGCCTGAAGACTCCCAAACCCAGCGCTCGCCTCCTAGAGCAGCAAATCAAGCCAGCCAGCCAGGTGGTTCTAACCACTGTTCTACCTCTTTTAGCAAAAACCAAGCCACATATTTTCTCTCTTTCTAAAAATATGCAGCTTTTAAATATATCCATCATTCTGGCACTCTCTACTGCAGAGCTTAATAAAGGCAAAACCACTGAAATTCAGGAGATGTCACAGCTCAAAGTATTCCTTGTGCTCAAGGAGGAAAGTCTGACAATTTCCCTATAGTTTTTTCTTTCCACAGAGTATTATTGTTACTAAAATAATTGTTTACCTTCATGAAAAGATACTCTTGCAGCCATGCTCACAACTAATAGCTAGCTGAGACTCGAAAAACCTCAATTCCCTTCATCCTCAATGCTGGATACATGGCAAATGTCCACTATTCAGTTCACTTTCCTCATCTAAGGAAAAACTGGGTTAGCAACAGACAGTACAGGAAATAGCGCTGAGAATTCAACCTGCTTTTATAGAAACCTCCACCAAAAAACCCTTGGGCAACTGGTACAAGTCAATGATTCACCATCTCAACTCTAAGCTTTACTCAATGTCCTTAAACTCCTTCTGTGGTTACCCGGTGATCAATGATTAGCCATCACCACCTCACAGGAATCCGGCACACTCCTGTTTCTCAAAAGGGGCCCTTAAATTGAGCACTCTACTGCTCAGGTGGAACTGGCTGAATTTTAATAGCTGTGCAGTTATAAGACTCCAAGAAAGGCTGCGTTTCTGGAATGGAGAGTTTCGTACTTGACCTTTGGAATCCCAGGGAATGGAAGATTTTCTGTGAACCCATAATCTTATCTTATTACAAGTCAGGCTCACAAAGAAGAGGAATTATGAAATCAAATGACTCAATGCTGGTAGACACAAATGGAAGCCCCCAGCCGTTTCTATAAACACACTATCCTGCTGGGAGACAGAGATGAAGGCCAACAGCAGACATAATGCCCTGAAGAACTAAGTACCTGAGCCAGACCCTGATGTGGAGAGATCGTAGACGAGATCCTGGAGCGTCTTGTCTTTGGAGAGACACATTTCACAGGAGGGATCTTCCATGTCTAGTCTCTGGCGGTTGTGATAAACTCGTTGATGATAGTTAATGACAAGGAAAACAATGATGATGATGAGAAACAGGAGGAACACGGGGCCGGCGATGATGCCGACCAGCTCCACGGGGCCCCACATGGAAGGGTGTTCAGGCTCCTTGAGGTGACCTGGACAAGTGAGAGGGGAAGGAAAGAACAAGTGAAACCAGGGAAAGACCAGCACAGCCCACAAAACGAAAAAGCTCTCTTCCCTCTCTGGAGTTCGGGGAGCCTTTGATTCCCACGGTCTCTGGGGGCAGCGTGTCAGCCTCAGAGCACTCAAATGCCTAACTGCCAAATTTCTTTAGTTCGGCATCTCTTCCAAGAGCTACACCTACACCCTCCACCTTGTCATTTGGGTGCTAGCCCCCCCTTCAGGGACTTGGTGGTGCAGCAGTTAAAGAGCTGAGCTGCTAACCAAAAGGTCAACACTGGACCCTACCAACTAGTTGTTCTGTGGAAGAAAGAAGTCACAATCGGCTTCAGTAGTGATTACAGCCATAGAAGTCCTATGGGGCAGCTCTGCTCTGTCCTACACGGCCACCAGGAGTCTAAACAGACCTGAGAGCAGAGGATCTAGTTTTAGGTTTGGGATTTCTACATCCATCTCCTAAAAAAGGCAGCAGGTTCTAGCAACCCACAATAGCTCCTCTAAGCTCTGTTCTGGTCTTGTTCATCCTTTCATCTCCTCCCCTGTCATACCTTCTAAACCTTCAAACTCACCTGGTGGCAGGCTTACAAAATGGCAGCATCTAATATTTCTCAGTCTCCTTTCCCAATTCTAGCCCCTTTCCACATTATACAGTCACCTGACCCTGCCTCTTCACACAGGACTGCGATTACCCCTCGCCTACGAGAATCCCTGTCTAGTTCCTCTACTCTTCACCAGCTGCCCTACAGCTACTTAGCCACTCTTCAGAAACTCAGCTTTCCCCTCTGGAATGAGCTTGTAACAGCTGAACATCTGTCTCAAGTATCCGTCCCATGCAAACCTGACTTGGGAAGATTCCAGTTATTTTTACCTAAAGGTACATCAAAAAAGGTAACCTGACCTATCACCAAACAAATGGACTGGGGAAAGGTAGAGAGGGACAAAATGACAGGGGTGCCCTACCTCCAAGATGAGCCAATAGTCCAACAAGGGTGTCCACTCACCGCTGGGCACCCTCAGGTCGATCTTGTTGCAGAAGTCAGTATAGCAGCAGTGGGTGTTACGCAGGTCCTCTGAGCTCAGGCAGTAGAAGGGCTTTCCCGCGGGAACCAGCTCCACTTTGGGGATGCAGGTGCGCACGTGGTGCTCCAAACCATCCAGGTTGAAAATGGAAACCATGCAGGCCCCATCTGTTTCACACGTGTAGTTGGCCTGTAGGCAGCTGGTGCACGCACACAGCAGAGCTGCAGGGAATGTGCAAGCAGACATTGGTGGTGGGATCAGATCCTAGAGATTCTTGTCCACACTTAGCAATGTGACCCTTTAGAATACTGGATGCTTCAAAATAAGGGGTTTTTATAGAGACTGGGCCAGAAAGAGGACATCTTCAAATGAAGCACATTTTCACCTGCTTATGCAGATCACTAATAAGGCTTCCTAGGCCCCTGGTTTTCCTTGAAGCGCTCTACTATATATATTCCTAGGTGAAGTGTCACTTTCTGAATTTACTATAAATCACTATATGACAAATAAAGAAGTTTTCCCTCAATGTCCATGTCTGGAGATAAGAGAAGTTATCTGCCCTTTGGAGAATATCGGACTCTTCCTCTCCCACCTCCATCCCAAACCACCTAGAGTTCTATGATGCTACCAACTCCCCTAGCTCCTCTCAGGTATCACAAAGGTGTGAGGTTTTCTGAATGCAGTGTGCATGCTCTTCGATGGATGTTAGTCTGTGTAAGGGGCTCCTCTGGTGAGATTCTAGGCCCATGTTCTTCTCTGCAGTACTTACAGGCAGAGAGAGTCTCAGACACAACACAGCACCTACTAGAGGAAAAGTCTCCCTCCAAACCCAAGGGCCTAGTCAGGATATACTTCTTCCTAAGCACCCTATCCATGTTGTGTTCTCGATACAGCATCATCCAAGAAAACACTAAAAAGAACCACATACCAGAACCTAAACAAGAGTCTGGGGCTACTTATATTCACTGAGTAGCTACCAAACGTTAGGAGCTTCCTGCTTCAAGAGGAAAACAGTGACAACCTGGACACATTCAGGCTCATTATACTGCTTAGGGGAAAACAGAAGAGGGAAGAAAATGAAAACAAAGACAAAGTAAATAACTTTTTCTATGCATTCTTTCACTAGCTTTACTAATTTTTTTATTCCCCTTTTTGCTCTTCTAGTATCACCTAATGCCAAAAAGAAGATTAAGTAAAATTATGTAAAAAAAGGGGTGCTCAATAAATTTAAGCCACTCTAAAGGCTTCTCAATATGACTGAAAAAATAAATTTAACACACATATACAGCATCTTTAAAATATATATAGGCAAAAATAGAAATGTATTTTTAAAAAGATGTATTATATTTTCCCAAATAGGCAATATATGCAATAATCTCTGAGACTAATGGATTTTGCTGGTTGTATATTATATATAAGTGTATACCGTTGACAGGAAATTACCGTAAATTAATTTGGCGCCTCTAAAAGCTAGTTCAGCAGCCCTGGAATCTGCCATCCTTTATTTATCCCTCTAACAAGAATAGCACAGACAGCAGCAGTTGGTTCTTCCCGATACTGTCTCCCCTGTGCCTAACCTAGCCCTGACCTCGTAGGATGGGCAAGAGTGTGGCTCTGGCCACCAGCACACGTAGGCTAGGGCTAGCAGTACTGACCGAAGCACTTACCAAGTGTAAGGTTACTCGATAAGCAAGGTGCACACTGCTTACTTGTGCTCACTTCCTAATACGTAGTCAACAAGTCCACATTTTTTTCACATCAAAGATTTCTGCTTCGAGTTAGGGCTCTTCCCACCACCTCACAGCACTGTCCTACATACTTAAAGCCTCTTTTCAAAGTTACAATCCCTGACAGGTACAGAGGACTCAGAAAGCACGGTAAGCACAGGCTTGCTTACTCACTCATATATGTAGGTAACAAAGTTTTAAGTAAACATAAGTAAGCCTGTCTTATCAGATGTGCTGGGTACGCTGCTCCTGCACATTCAGCAGATAGAAATGGCAGGATCCACTCAAGTCCCAGATAGCACACTAAATGAACGCTACTTAGACAGCACACAGGAATACGTAACAGAGGCCCCTGGAGAAGAGACATTTATGGCCAGTCCCATAAAAAAACTACCCTGTCATAACTCACTCTTTTAAACTGTAAACAGTCTATCTTAGTCTCTTGCTCTAATACACTGGAAGGCATCTCCTGTTTGGCCTTTGAAACCCCAAGGCAGATTCTAAATATCACAGTGCCCAGCCCTGCCTTCTCAGGCTTTCTATAAAGAGACAAGCCCATACAATCCTGGCGCAGGAGACAAGGAGGGTGCAGGGCAGGTACACTGCCAGTGTAGGCTGTCACCTGGGACCTGCTACAGTTTTTCAGTGTCTGATCAGGTCTGTTTCTTCTAGAACTTCCAAAACATGTAGCTACCTGCTTAAAGGGTTTGGAGTAATTTTTAAGAGGAAAAAGTTTAAAGGAGGCATCTTTTAGACAAGAATCCAAATCACAAAAGGAATTTAAAAAGTAAATTCATCCTTCATTGCTGTTTCAACTCTTTTAAATACTACAAAGACTAAGGAATCTTGTTATTTTTCCTCCCAAATGCTTTTATTTGCTCCTTTTAGTCTTGCTGTTGGCTTAAATGTACTTCTGTACCTCTCAGAATATGTATGTATATAGGGGTCTTGACTGTCTCCATCCCTGGAATGAAGACTGCTACTTCCCACTCCCTTCGCCTGTCAATCCCTGTGCCATGATGTTCAAGATAAAAAAACAGGGAAATGAGCAACTTCAAGTGAGGACAGTTCTGAGCACCTCCAGAGAAACAGCTGCCTTTTAAAGAAGAGCCCACTTCAGAGTCCATCAATTAGCTAACTAAGCAGGATAGTCAGGATTTCTCTCCCAATTCCAGGTATTTATTCTCCTTCGGTTGGTTCACGGCCTTTTTCACAGTGATTCATTCTAGAGAATGAACACACCCACACATGGCTCATTATTTTTGGGAAGTATTTAAACAATCTTGGTGTAAGACGGGAAAGAACAAAAGTGGTGAAATCTATGCTAGACAGGACCAAGAACGGAAGTGGGAGTTGGGTCATGTGGGTTTGTGATAAAGGACTGAACAAGTCCTTGACCTATCTGGGCTTCCACTGCTCCACTAGAAGAACATGCAGTCAACCCTCTTTATGCAAGGGCTCTGCACTTGCAATTCAACCAAGTGCAGACAGAAAATATTGCAGGGTGAGAATTAAGTGGTTAAGGTAAACCCCCAAAGGCTAAGCTGTTGTTATGTACTGTCAAACTGGAAAAGACTCACAGCTGACCCTCAGCTTGGGTTTTCAGAGGCAGCAAACAGCATGGGAGGAGACAGCCTATCTGTCTCCCACAGACATACCTTTGGGTAGCACAATTCCTTACCACAAAGCTACCAGAGCTCCCTCCAAGGCTAAGAGGAAGTGTATACGGCTATTTACATTGTATTAGGTACTAGAAGAAAACCTGGTGGCCTAAATCTGTTAACGTCTGGGCCACTAACCAAAAGGTCGGCAGTTTAGGTGGGTGGAAGAGGTGTGTGAGTGAAGAAATGGCAAAGGTTTAATGCGGACTTGAAAAGTCAGGGTGGTAACAGGAAAAGATCAATGGTAAATAATGATATAAACTATAGTGTATATGAATAACTGTCTAAAACACAGTGTACATGAATGAAACATAATGAATATGAACGACTGTCTATAAAACAAAGCATATGTACAAAACATGAAGTATATGAATGATTGTATGCAAACCAATAAAAAGAAGGAAAAAAAAGATCAGCAGTTCAAATCCCCTAAATGCTACAAAGGAGAAAGAGGGGCATTATCATATAAAGATATAGAGCCGCAGAAACTCGATGGAGGGTTACTATGAATCCAAATAAACTTGATGGTAGTGGGGTTTTTTTTGGGAGGGTGGGCCAAGGTAATATAAGTAATCTATACATGGTTTCAGTATACATGAAGAAGCATATAGATTATATACAAATACTATCTTATTTTATACCAAGGATGTGTGTAACCACAGATTTTTGTTTGTTTCTGCAGGAGGAGGGGGTGTTTTTAGTATCCTTTATGGATATTAAGGGAGATGGTATCATTTATCTTACAGAGATGACACAGAGATTAGTCCAACATTTGCTAAGTGCCCTGGGTCCTCTGGAAAAAAGTTCTCTCTACTCATACTCGTGTACATCTATCTATTTCATAAAGTAAAAAGGGAGTGCTCTGGTAGCTGAGTGGTAAAGAGTTACACTGTCAACCCAAAGGCACGTGGTTCAAATCTCCTCTGTGATTTGTTATTTATTGTTATGTATTATTGAGTCACAACTGACCTACAGTTGATGCTACAGAAGGTTTTCAGAGGCATTGCTCAACTTTCTCCCACAGAGCAGCTGGTGGATATGAACCATGTGTCTTTGGGTTGGCAGGGCAGCTCCTTACCACCAGAGCTCTTTCCCAGTGATTTACTGCCTCTGAAAACCTGTTGGAAGGCCAGCTATGAGTAGGTTCCAACTCGATGGTACATAACAACAACAACAACAACAACAACTGTTTCACACTACTGGAAAGGGCTGAGTTACTATCACAAGGGCCCACAGAGAGGTAGCATGGCTGAAGCAGATCTGAATAACCTGAAGTTCAGATATCAGCTCAATATTAACCATGTAACCTTGAGTAAGTCATTAATCTTCTTGCATCCTAATTTTCTAATCTCTAAAATACTACTACTGTTAATAATTACCTCACAGGACTATGCAAGAATTACACTAATAGACTAAAAAGTACATAGCAATAATTACTTGATAAATATTAAACCCCTTTTCTCAATTGTAAAAATCTAAATAATAATAAAAATAAAAACCAAAGGAATTATTGTTTCTTTAAACACTATTTAGGAAGTGGCAAGTTCTAGCAAGAAGCTGCTGTTTAAGTCTCAGCTCAGTCAGTAACTAGTTGCACGATTTTTGGCAAGTCATTCATTTAACCTCTCTGAACTGCTCTTTCCTCATGACTAACCAAAAGGAAGGGCTGAACTAAATGATCTCTAAAACCTTTCCTAGGTCTACATTTTAATTGTTTTGTTTTTGAGTTCTCACCATTTGGATCACTGAGACATTCTGCTTTAAGTTTTATATCTCTTTTCCTGAACTTTAAACATAGACATTTTGGCTTGTCTTTTGTTAATATTCATTTGT